AGTTGTACAAAAGCATCATCAACGGATAGCCTTCTGTTAAGTTGATCACGACCGATGTACATGATAGAGAAGTAAACTGGCCATCCATCCTAGAACATGGACATAAAACATCAAAATTTCACAATATAAATGTTAGCATATCTCCCTAATTATATTGATTGACCAATCTCCATGATTTGGTCGATCTCCATGATCTATGTAATTATACAATTAGAGCATGATTTGTATAATTAGCAGTAATTACTTACCTTATGTGCTTGCCTCCTTCACCTATAAAAGGAAGGCTCTTGTACAATTTTATTTATCACAGAATACAGAAGTTATTCACAATTCTTCCTTTATTTTCTTCCAAGGAGGATCATCCTTGTGTAGTTCTGGATTCTCATAGTAGGATCATCTTGATTTTTTTGGTGTATGCTGTTTTGTGGGATTTCTCCCACTACTGCATCTTGGTCAGTGATATATTGCTGAAATTTTGGCCAGTGTATTGGCGTTATAGCTTTTGTTGGAACACGAATTATGTATTCAACTGAGTTCTCCCAACAAATAGAGCTCACTGTGTGTGTCGGCACATTTCGTGAATTTCTTTTGGAAATTCTTCTTGAGGGGTGAGTTCTCTGAAGTGTTCTTGGAGTGGCTTTGGAGTTGCTCTTAGTTTTTTCTGCACTATTTTGCTGTTTTTGGTATCTCATCGTCACTAGTTTTCATAGTTGGTTGCTTTGGTTTGGATTTCTTCTTCGTGGACACAAACATTGCCACCGTCGCAGTTCAAGGTTGCAAATTGATGCTTATAGCAGCATCAATTTGAGAGAGGGTGTTAAAGATAGGAAAATATTGTTTTGAATAATCTTCAATAGTGTGAGATTATTTTCCTTATTAGTTGATTGTGTAATTATCACACAATCTTTCATTTTAGAATTATTTCCTTTTAGAGTTATTTGTATCCCTCTAAATAAGGTCTTCTACATTGTAATATTTTACAAGAGCTTATAATAATACAATTCATATTTTAATTGACATTTTTTTTAAACTTAAAGACACTGTGAAACAAAAAATCATTCAAAATATCAGTACAAATCTATATTCAAGATTAAAGTTCAGTAATAAAAATAGGATTTTTTCTGGGAATTTGAGAATTTTCACAGGCTGAAAATTTTTGGGCTTTATTGAGGAAATGGGTGTTGCTATGGTTATCGAATTGAAACCAACCATTTCAGGGAAAAAGGACGTTTCGTCCCAGTTCTAGTGCAAAAGAATGGCCTATATCCGATGTTTCCAGTGACCTAACCATTGAAGTCGGAACGGCAAGTTTGCCGCTTCACAAATTCCACCTAGTTTCTCGAAGTGGAAGAATAAGAAAGTTAATGTTGGAAGCAAAAGATTCCAAGATTTCGAGGCTGAGTCTTACTGGTGTTCCTGGTGGATCTCAGGCATTCAAGTTGGCTGTAAAGTTCTATTATGGAGTGAACTTCGAGATTACAATATCAAATGTTGTTATGTTGTGATGTGCAGCGCATTTCCTAGAAATGATCGAAGAAATTTCCTAGAAGAACCTCGAAGGTAAAACTGAAGCATATTTGAAGGATACTGTGCTGCCAAACGTATCAAACTCAATATCTTTATTGCACCTCTGTGAAAGTCTTTTACCGATATCCAAAGACATTTACCTGGTTAATAGGATAATCAATGCAATTGCAAATAAAGCGTGTAAGGAACAGCTAACATTGGGTTTATCAAAGCTGGAGCATAACTTCCCTTCAAAACCTACCCAAAGCTTTGAAGAAGAAACACCTTCAGACTGGTGGGGGAAGTCGTTGGCATTACTGAATCTCGATTTCTTCATACGAGTTTTGACCGCTATCAAACAAAGGGCCTAAAATAAGAAATGATCGGTCGAATTCTGATAAAAGACCTCATAGGAAGGGATCCTTAATTATTCAAAGGAAGTTTTGCAGATCTTGATTTACAGAAGAAACAACGTTTCATTGTTGAAACGATAGTTAGTTTACTACCAATCCAATCAAGAAAAAGCACAATTCCTATGGCATTTCTTTCAAGTTTGTTGAAATATGCAAAAGTAGCATCAGCATCAACATCTTGTAGACCTTTTGGAGAGGCGGATTGCCCTGCAATTGGAGCAAGCTATTATTGAAGATATTCTTATTCCTGCAAATCTGAATTGAAACAATCACAGGCCGTGTATGACAGAGATTCAGTCCTGAGAATTTTCTAGATTTTCTTGAATCTTGATGAGGATGACGAAGAGGATAATCATCCTAGGTGTGAAAGTGAGATGGTTTATGATTTTGACAGACCTGGGCCTCCAGAGCAAAGCTCGATAATTGAGGTGTTGAAGCTCTTGGACAATTATCTTGCAGAAGTAGCATTGGATTCAAACTTGACTGCATCAAAGTTCATAGCACTAGTAGAATTACTTCCGGACTACGCT